AGAGGTGCGCCTTCTTGCTCGGCAGCTGACGTACAATCCTGACTCTCTCCTTCCCATGAATCAGTTTCGCGTCGTCCGTAACACCAAAGTGTGACTTTCTTGATTGGTGAATTTGTGCAGGGAGGAAGATCAGCCATCGTTTCGTTTATTTCGTACCCTTCTTACAACCCATCAACAACAAATCGAACGACGTGCTCTAAAAACCAGCTGTAAGGCACTGTGTCCGTGAACATTCAAACCCGATTCTGCTCCCAGGGCTGGATTCCTTGCATCAAATGACCATCATCAGAGCTTGCTCCTCCATTGAAGACCACCACGCCATTCCGTACCTCAAGATGCCTCGTATGATGTGATGACAATCTCTCGGTCAGTAGACATGGGCAGCCAGGCAAGCCTGATTTCGTCCAGAATCTCAGGGCGACGGTACATGCGCATGGACCGAATGTGACCCATCAATTCTGTGACGTCAGCTCAAGGCCTCTTGTTTCGTTTATACCGTACTGGATCAACCGCGTATGGAGGGGATAAATTGTGTGCGATCGGTGGTAGCAGCATTGCTGTTGTGGCCAAGGCATGTACTCTCAGTTGTTTTTTTGTTCATATTCCAGCTGTGCGGTGTTCCCGTAAAACCACGAACATCAGCTGCAGGAGCCGGCGCCACAATTTCCTCGGGAGCAGATTCCTGATGTGATTCTGGAGTACCACTCAAAAGCGTGAAAAAAGAAGCATGGGCGAATCGGCAAAAAGACTGGAGCGCTCCGTCAGTAAGCTGTGCGAGTCATCCATTGCAGTCACTTTGAGATCCGATCGACAGCCGTCAAGTCGACCTCGATACGAATTGAACATGCGCATCTACACGTTCGCACTCATGGCTTCCACTTCGAGTCTGCTACGCGACACGGCCTCTTCCGGAACAGTCAACTCCTCGCTGACGAAAGGTAACCTCCCGGCTAATGTGGATTTCTCTGATGGTGTCAACAATAGCGGCCTTGCCGAGCAGCCGTTGGTGGTACGCGAAACCACGTCTGGGGAAGAGAGAGTAGGACCTCCGATTCCTACAGCGTTTGAGTCAGCCGTCAAAGATGCAGTGGCGAAACTGGTGACTGCGATGCACTCACACAGTGAAAGTGTGGGCCAACTGGATCGGCTCACCGTTTCTGTCAAGAAACACGTGCAGGCATTGGATGAGTACGCTGTCATGCGCTATCTCGCGGGTCGCTATCCCGAAGGGCTAACTAAGGAAAGCATCGAGCATGTGCTTGACTCACGTTTCGCGGTACTCCCGTATCTGGGCGGGTTTTCTCAATTGCAAGGATGGGTACACAGTCTCATAACCGCTGTTCAGCTGACGGAACGTACCAAATCGGCGGAGAAGCGAGCGATGTGGCTGCAGAATGGAAAGTCTCCCGGCCAGGTGTTCAAGGAACTGGCCATCGCAGGCGAATCTCCGGCGGAGAAACCTGGTCAATTAACAAACCCGTTTGCATCTCCAGACTTCCTCGTGCTGCGGACGTACGTCGAGCAGTTCAAGGGGATGTATGATCCGGGCTATACGCTGCTCGATGCATTCCTCGAAGGATTTGATGGCCCTGCTAATCTCGCAGAATTTTTGTCGACCGCCAAGCTCAGCCAATTCAAAGGGAACGACGCGCTGGATATGCTCATAGATCTGCTGCAATACTGGGTCAAACATGGGAAGAAACCAGGTGATATTGCTGGAATGCTGAGGGAGGGCGGCAAGGAAGCAGAATCGCCCTGGTTCAAGGAATTTTTGGCCGTATACAAGGTGTATTACAACGAGAAATATGGTGGTCCATCGGCATCGTCGCACGTCTAGCGCTGAGCTCTGCGACCGTTATTCTCCACCGCTAGTTGAACCCGCACAGCAGATGGCTGCATCCGCGAATCAACTGCGTGGTATTTGAATGACAAGACGCATGGCGCCGGTAGATCTTGGTGAAGCGCACTCTGCTCGTGGACTCGCTGTTGACGCGGAGCACGTGGAACCGATCGACGCTTGGACGGCTCACCATGTATCGGACGACTACCTACGGGTCAAACGCGCTAGTTCGTACAACTTTATCCGTCATTAGTCGCCTGCATCCGACCGACAATCGCATACATAGCATGCATCACTCTTATCTCACTTCCTCAATGCTCTTTTGCAATAGAAACAGCGAAAGAAAAGTTCTTGTACAAAGCGTCATAGGACCTGTCGCCCGCGTCGCTGCAATTATGTGGTAAGTGGCGTGCGACCCTGTGGGTTTACACGAAGACACGTTCATCACTTTCCCTTATCCTGTACCACCGAGGTGAGGTCAAGGACCACTCGTGGCGCGCAAAAGCTTCTAGATTAGCTACTGCTGGTTGAAAGTGCAGGTATGAATCGCCTGCGCACTAGTGAACTCCGAAGCGCTGCTCTCTTCTCGACAGCCACTTACGCGTCGTCCGTGGCTCTAAATTCGTGGCCGCTTATCGGTCGAAACTAAAAACGTCACATTGCTTGGCAAGCTGCACGCATGACTCGGGCGCGGCAGCATTGACATCTCTGAAGCCCATGCTCCAAAATTGCCTTGTGGTACATCAAGGGTATTCATTACGCACTTGCGTGAAAAAAACTTAACAAAAGTGCAACGTCATGCACAAATCCGTTCAATAACTTTGTCACTAGTAAAGTATGACAGACGCTGCTCGGGGTCGGTCTTGTGAGGTCACGCGCACTCGTTTTTTTCGTGCCGGCAAAGCTTGCATTGTCTTCCCCACAGACGCAGCCTCAGTTCGCACAGCATAGCACGCGCCGTATCGAAGACATACAACGACATAGAGAAACGTCTCTTCAAGGTTCATGTGGCCATCGCGATCCAAAGCCGCTGTGATTTTTCGTACTCAATCTACTTTGCCCTGTTTCGAACATTCTGCACCCTCATGAACTGTTGGTCGCTGAGCTACATGCCTCCATTTGTTGCTTCGGTATTTTACTTGCACTGATGTGTTGCAGCAGGGTAAATTAGTGGAAGCGCGAGCGATTCCGTTGTCGATGGTTTTCATATTGTTGTAGCAACACGACCCGTCAGAGTCCTGTCTTCGTCCTGGCGGAGCGACGAGTTTACGGTGTGTTGGAAGAATTCGGTTACATGCTAGACATCTCGCTTCTTATCGATGCAGTGTGAGTGCAGCCCGAGTGCTCAATACTTTGTAGCGATACAATATTCACGCAAGCAATATAACAGTGTAGTGCCACAGAGTCTTGCCCACAGCCAAATATAGTTTGAAGAAGTCGACATAGCTGTCGGCAGCAACGCTACAGCATCTTTAACTACTCCGTCGAAAGTCCCGCGAAGTTTCCGGCCACGTAATCTGCGAAAGCAATCGAACTTACCAAAAGGAGCCTTGTGCAAGTTGTATTGCTAGACCTGCTGACCGTTGTTCTGCCAAGTCTTCGTTCGTTTTAATTTGTACCGTACCGTAGCTGTAGCGGGGCA